AAATAACTATGAGCTGTTTAACAAATCATGCCTGAGATCTTTTATTTATTTTATTTTATTTTATTTTATTTATATGCCGCCCTTCTCCGGAGACTCAGGGCGGCTTACAATGTGCTCAGCAATACCCTTCATCCTTTTGTATATTTATACAAAGTCAGCTTATTGTCCCCACAACTGGGTCCTCAATTTACCTACCTTAGAAAGGATGGAAGGCTGAGTCAACCTTGAGCCTTGGCGAGATTCGAACCTGCAGTAATTGCAGGCAGCTGGTCTTAATAACCAGCTTAATAACAGGGTGCCTTAGACCACTGTACTACCAAGGCTCTTTAACTTAACTTAAAATAAACTCATAGGTTAGGTGACCCGCACGCTGCGGAATTCTCTCCCAGGAGACAGGCAGCTAGTCTTATCTGGACCTCCTTTTAAGCAAATATCTAAAGTCCTGTTCCCATTGACTTCTAAATATTTCTATGGGTAATTGCCATTTGTGGGTTTTAAAATTATATTTTTTCTGGAAATGGTTTACTTAAAACAGGTCATATTTAATGTATTTTCTTGGGCCTTTTTCTTTGTTTTTGCTAAAATTAAAAAATGAATTAACTACATACATTACTTGAAACAACTCTTTTCCTCTTTAGTAAATCTTGTTTAATTGGAGAAAGGAAACTATTAAATGGGAATACCAAGAATGGTTACCAACATAAAAGCATCCATTCTGCCTTTTCTAAAATTCCCCTGTGCATGAGTCAGGACCATTGCATGATAAACACCTACTCTGGAGCTATTCCTAATCTCCTTTAAAAGGTTATTTTCCCCCCCACTCCTTCCAATTCCTCACAGCCTTGCCAGGCAAGGGAAGTAACTTCCCAGGCCCCTAAGGCTGAGAAGGAAGATAGAGACAAAGTGCAGTAAGGACCCTCTTCTCTAGACATCCCTGCTATATGCCAGCTAGCAGAAATGATTTTTAAAGGCTTTGGCCTGAGAAAGTCCACTCAGAATTACTGTTTCTAATCAGATTTGCTTTCCCTGGCTTTCAAGATTTTTCAAAAGTTAACTTTTTGTATTTTTTCCCTTTGCCTATTAACACTGATTTCATTCAAATAAATTCTATTACCCAATGGCCTTTCTTATTCAAAATATTCTTTTGATAACTCCTCTCTTTTGCCAGTTCCTAAAGCCTGATCTCATCGGTTTTATGGCTCTAGATTGTTACTGAGAATTAACTTTCCATGTTCCTGTTTCAAACAATCAATCAATCTATGCCTATTCATCATCATCTTTCAATAATATTTTCTCCATATGGCTTAAGTAACTGAATTCTGAAGTGTATTATCCAGTCCATTGTGGCGTTTCCACATAGGGGCCTTCCACTGTTCCCAAATCATATGTGATCCCGTGGCATCTTCTCAATAATTTATTTATACATCTATAAATCAGTTCATTTATTTCTAGCTCAGCTGCATTTCATCTCAGAATTTCAAAGGCTAAAAGCCCCTGAGAACTTGTCGACAGAAACCTTCATGTCACTCACAGCAATGGTATTCTCGGCATTTCAAGATCAGAAGATTTGTTCATCAGCTTCAAATTGCTTTTGAGTGGCTGAGAACTGAAAATGGTGGCAGCTTTGAAAGACTTTTTGTCAATCAACTCAGTTTACATAATTAGTAATATGTTCTATTTTATTCCTCAGAGTATAGACCAAACACAGGTCAAAATCAAATATATATCACATATATGTATGCTTGAGGATGGTGGATGACAACTAGCAATTTTGAGATCTATAACTGTCCAAGTGTTATCAATAATACCACATGCAACAGTGATAAACAGGTCAACAATCCAAAAATAAGTTTTGTTCTATTAAAAGATGAGAAATAAATAGAAGTTAATATAGCAGGGATGGGCAGTAGGGCCACAGCATTTATTCTACCATAATGGGTTTCAATACTGGATCCTCAACCCTAGCATTCAAGATGACCTTCCAGTCCGAGTGTACAGGAACTTTGGAATGCACAAATTTGGGGGGGGGGTGTTTACAAACGCAACTTCAGTAATTTTCCATTTGTCTTCATGCTATTTATGTCAATGTTTGATTTGTAATGTTGTGGCAGAGAAAGCAGAATATGAGTGTGTGTTATACACATACGCATTCTGAGGAATGTGTTTTTATAATGCCTTTATAATAAAAGAGAAGTTAAATAGAAATTTGAAATGTTAGAACATAGAACATCACCAGAGTTGGAGGTCTTGTAGTCCAACCCCTTGCTCTAGCAGGAAGACCTATACCATTACCTACACCATTTCAGACAAATGGTTGTCCAGTCTTTTCTCAAAAGACTCCAGCGATGGAGCATCCACAACTTCTGAAGGCAGATCATTTCAACTGGTTGATTGTTTTCACTGTCAGATCCAAATCCACTTCAAGGATCAAGAAGGTGCTCTCAAGTTTAGGGGAGAGCCCGGACATCCCTCCCAGCCCATTCATTCTTCAATTTTTAAAGCTGAAATTACGCTTTTGCCCATCTGCCCCTCAGCTGTCTGCTATTTTTTGTCATTGTAGTATGAAATACATTAGAGAGGACTGTCATCACCAATCAAATTTATTTCCTTTTCCTAAACCACTAAAATATATATGTACACATAAGAATACACTGCCAACCTTTATGCAAATTCAACACGCAGCATAAAAAAACAGTTCCAAGGTCCGTAGATGTGTGAGAGAAAGTAACAGAGAAAACACCAAAATCACTGTCGAGATGCAGTGCCTATTTTCCCATAAATGCTTCCCCCTCTGAGATGTAAGGGGTGGGTTAAATGGTGGAGATTGGCTGTGTAAGGCAAATACATTTACACCAGTTCATTTAAAGATCTGCTCACCCCCTTCATATAACATGCTTGATTGTGGAAACACAACCCCATTTATTTGGTTTTGGTTCAGTGGACTGGGCTAACCCAGAAAATGGGTTAATTCACTTCCACTCCAGCTGCCCTGCGATCAAATACGGAAGTCAGGCTTACCTTTTATTGTGCTTTTAAAGGGAACATCCATATCCGACTGCATCTGTGTCAGCAGGTTGAAGGTGTCCTTCTGAGAAGGCTGCAGGATATCCTTTAAGAAAATAGCCATCAGTCAGGCTTACTAATGTACAGCCAGCAGTAGGTATGTCTTCCTGTCTTTTCTGCTTCAGAGGCAAGGACTGAGGTGTGCACTTTAGAGAAAGAGTTGCTTGTTCCTGTCAGTAAACAGGGTTGCCATAGAGCTGCTGTGATGAAGCTGTGCTCAAAGCAGCTGCTCAAGGCTCAGGCTACACAATGCAGAGTTTACAGGCCACCCAACTGAATAAGGGTATTTTTCTTCATTGCCCAGGGGACGAGAAGCTGAACTATAAAGTGAGGTATCTTATGGCCATCTAATGTAAACATCAGGCTACCTTCAGTCTTGATTATCCCTGGACTGGAGGCTCCGGTGCATCTTATAAAAATAAAATGAATGTCTAGTCTTTCCTTTTCTGGAATCAATGGCTAGAAAGGAATACTACTGGCACACTCTTAAAGTGACCTTACGTTTTTCCAAGCCTCTTGTCTTTAAGCATATCCTTTTGTTTTCCTTTTAACTTAATCCAATTATTTGTTAAGGGAGCAAATAGCCATAACAAAAAAACACAAATATTTTATAACATGCTCTTTATGGAGTACTGTTAAAGACCATTTCAGTTGTCATGGTATTTCCAGACTTAAATCCAAAACATTACTGGACCTCAATCAGCCCTTGCCAGTCTGGTCTCTTCCAGATAAATTGGATAGAGTTCTACAATTTTCCAGCCAACTCCTTTAGAGGGCAACACATTATAGAAGGTTGCCCTGAGTCATCTTCAGATAAATTTCCCTGATGAATGCTACATCAGTGTTAACACTTCAGAAAATGAGAAACTGACGCAGCAGAATTTTCAGCCCAATTATTGTTCTGGAATCCACAACATTTTTTTGAAAATAAAAATGTTTGGAGGCTACAGCCAACCTAGAAATAAAAAAGACAAAGAGAGCTGGGTAAGTAACCTCATAGCTGGTCTTCTATTCAATGGATATTTTGAAATTGGTCATATTCATGAAGGCAATTTTCTTGTAAGAGGACCTATATCATGCTTCCAAAATTTTATATCTCTGGGTCTATAAGGCCCCAAAGGTTGTTCCTCAATCAATATTTTGGCCAGCTAAAGGCAGTATTAGCAATATCACTTAGACTTATATACTGCTCCATAATGCTTTACAGCACTCTTCGAGTGGTTTACAAATGTCAGCATCTTGCCCCCAACAATCTGGGTCCTCATTTTACTGATCTCAGAAGGATAGAAGACTGAATCAACCTTGAACCAGTCAGAATTGAACTCCAGGCAATGGGCAGAATTAGCCTACCATACTGCATTCTAACCACTGCTTCACCATGGCTCCTGTGGTATATATGTATATATTATATGTGACATAATGACAAGTAGTCTTAGATACAGATGCATGGGAGGTTGGTTTTGAGACATGACCACAGTCATATTCTGACCACAGCTATTTCCAGATCATACCCCCTCCCAGATTTCAGCCTTGAAAGGTTTTGCACACCTCTGATCCTGGCCTTGATGGATTTTCGGTCCAGTCATTTGAGATCATGGTATATGTGTAACCCAGTATTAATAGCCTCTTCTTCTTCCTGGATGGTGATGTACTGCAATGGATAGGTCACCTCCTTCTTTGTGTTACTGTAGTTCTCTAATTGAATATAAGATTCCCAAACAGTATAAGCAGTTTGGTCGTCTAAAGAGAAACAGACAAAATAGTAACCCAACTGTTGTTCCATGCTCGTGCTCCTGGAAGCTTCCCTGATGTAAATCAATGTGGTATTCTCCTACAGCTAACATGGCATTGTGATTGCTTGTTGGAGCTAGTATTGTGACATCAATGATGTCAGCAATCCAGTTACTATTTCCTTCCAGGAAATTTGCATCCTGCAGCTTTGCTAGTTTGGTTGTCTTCAATGCTTGTTGGGCTATAAAGATTAAAAACTAAGAACGTGTAACTGGCATAGGTAAGAGTGGGATGAAGCTTGGCTTACTTAGATAAGCATACAGAAATCCATCTTGGTGGATTTCTAAAGATGAAAAGTGGAGGCAAGAAAGAATTAAAGGCCAAGAAAAATATAGTATATCTTATAGTGGATATACTAGAACCCCATCTAATACAATCAGGACTTCCCTTGACAAGGGGCATAAAATAAGTCTTGAGGATTGTACCAAGGACTGCATGTGGGCAGTGAGATATAAAACTGGTATTTGTGGTAAAAGCAGAAAATAGGCAAAGTTTATTTATTTTATTTAGTGTTTCAATTTCAAGGCCCTACAACTACATAGCAACTCTGGCTGGCTTACAAATAAAAATTAAAGAAAACAAAATAAGACAGCTAACTGAAATCAAAACTCAAAAAGCCAAGCAGACAATAACCAATCAAAGAGGCTCCATCCTTATCCTTAGACCAAGGCTTGGGAGAAATCTGAGTTAAACACTACCTACTTCTTTTTCATTAACTGATTTCCACCAATCTAACTGAAGTATTCTTTAAACCACAAGATTTACATTTAACTAGATGATTAACCGTTTGGCAAAGAGTAGCTAAGGAAGAGGCTGGAGACCAGGATTCTTGTCTAGGGTTATGTTCCGGAGATGCCTGAACCTGAAGATGTTTTGGCATACAAATTACATGCACTACTACTGAGCTATCACATTCCCCTAGAAGGGAAGAGGACTTTTAGAAAGTAAAGAAGCACTGAACAGAAGCAGGGAGTCAGTCAGTGGAGAACTAGTCAAAAACATCACAGGAGCAAATAACCCCCTGATGATCAGGATGATTAGACAGGTTAGCAAACCATGGCCAGGTAATCTGCATTGGAATGGTACCTGCCTATGTCCAGGAATATTTTCTAACTAACATTAGAGTCACTTCTTGAACTGATTAAGAAAAGAAGTGACAGTGCAGGATTTGAAGGCCAAAGTCAGACTGAAAGCTGTGTACTTTTCAAATGCATTCACTAAAAAGACTGTTTACTGTAAAGTTTGATCCTGGAGTTAAGGAATAGTACAAAACTCCAATAAACACATTTTGTTGCTGTTAGATTTGACTTGCTGTTATCAAAGTGGGCATCTTGGCTAGACATATTGTTCTCAGCAAAAATAAAGACAGTCTGTTCTAACTTCACATTTTCACTAAGATTTCTGTTACAATTCTTTGCCTAAACTCCCAAAAGAGACTGTCTAATTTAGAGTAGATTTCCAGTATATCCTGCTTTTATTTTGTACTACACAAAATGGGGCACATGATTAATTAATTTAAAACTGTCCCTCTTATAACAAACTCTAGGCTGCTCCCAATCAAAAGAAAATGGACCCTCCTCCTATTTTACCTACAACAATAACCCTGTGACCAGCCCAAGTCATCCAGCTGGCTTCCATGCAAAAGGAAGGATCAGAACTCATCATCTCTCCGCTTCGGTTTCCAGTCCAGCACTTCAATTGCTTCACTGGTTTTCAGACTACCCAATACTATCTGATACTGTACTTTTGCGGGATACAGTTTGGCAATTGATACTGCCAGCTTGGAAGAAATCTGAGAGAATACAAATTACCCTAGTTACTAGGGCCTAGTAAAAAGATTTGTGGGGAAGATTTCCCTGAAATTAAATCAAGCTGTCAAAGCAAACAACTCTTCAGTTTTGGCACCATCAGAAAAAGACCTGAAGGCTTCTGGCATCTGGCAGATTCGAATCAAGCCATCCTCTTGATAGAGTTACTGCTTATTTAGGAACTGTGTATGTGATGCTGCAGAATATTCTATTAGTGTCAAAAATAGTTGGCATGGATTAATGAGGAGAACAAGAAACCCCAAAAGCTGAGGCTACAGAATCTCTCTCAGGCCTCTGGTTGTTATTTAAGTGTAATCTAAGGTTCTTAGTCAACAACCATCCATGTGAAGAGCTCACTGCAATTATATTCAACATAATAGAATTTGCCCTCTCTGCTTACTTTTACTTTTTGCCCAGATTTCCATGACAAACTGCATCTCATCCCAAAAAGATGAACTTGCTGATATTCTTCCTTTATTAATTTCTGGGAACCTACTACTATTGTGCTACTGCTACCGCTATTATTTATTTACTTATTTCATCCACTAATATACAATGTCCATATTTTTAACTGGTTTTTCCACACATTGAGGAGGGTTAGATTAGATTATCCTTGTGGGGTGAAATAAATGAAATGTTAAAAAGTTATGATATTTATGTAGTTACTTACCAAGCACATCTAAATTATATTAAAGTAAGCAAAATATCTTTACAATCTCCAAGGCATGTCACAATTTTTGAGCAACCCTAATGTTTGGAAATTGAAAATTGGGAAAGCTGACTCTCCCTAGCACTGATGCATTCCAATTCTATTCCATGGTTCATATCAAGAAAAGGGTTTCTCAACTCTCTGTCCTCAACCCTATGACAGAGAAGGAGAGAGAAGGAGAGAGAGAGAGAGAGAGAGAGAGAGAGAGAGAGAGAGAGAGAGAAGGAGAGAGAGAGAGAGAGAGAGAGAGAATGAGCATTTGAACATAGGAAGACCATGCTGAAACATCTTAGGAAGACCATGCTGAAAGCAGTTACAGAGGTTTAGGTATTGGATAAATCCACTCTCAGACACAGAAACTGACTAGCTAGTTTGGAACCAATCTGTCTTTCTCAGCTCAACTGACTTAATAGGGTTATGGGCAGGGATGGGTTCTACTTACCTTTACTACTGGTTTGTAGCGGGGCCACGTGTGCACGTGCACTTTGCTCACGCTCTTCTGCGCAAGCACAAAAGCTTCTACGCATGCGCAGAAGCGTTTTGATGATGTCGGGGTCAGTGGGCGGAGCCTCCCACAAGTTTTACTACCGGTTCTATCGAACCCGTGTGAACTGGGGGCAACTCACCACTGGTTATGGGTGAACTTGTAGTTTCCTTAGGTATAGTGCATATTAAATATTTATTTTTAAATTGTTATACTGCCCATTTCCCTTATAAGGTGACTCTGGGAAGCTTACAGTAAAAGTGGCAGAAAAATAGTTAGAATATTAAAACCTTAAAACTGCACAGATTAAGATTACAAAAAACTATACTAAAACCAGAACTAAAAGATGGATGGAATGGGGAGGAAGTCTTCTTACCCAGTCAGCCACCTTAGAGCTCCAGACCTATCAAAGCCAACCTATCAAAGCCAACCTATCAAAGCCAACCCTGGAAGCTATCCTTCCATGTTTTAATATGTTTTAAGGGCAAAAGGGTGGGAGCAATTCTCACCTCCAGTGGTAGAGGGTTCCACCGGGATGGGGCCACAGTGGAAAAGGTTCCTTTCCTTGAACCCACCTGCTGGAATTCCTTAGTAGATACGATCCATAGTGGGTCTATTCCATTGGTGCATGTGGGATGGGCTAGTCTCTCATTGGGGAGAGAAGGCTCCTCAGATAATAAAACATTAAAAATAATAAACTATCACCAACTTCAATATGCCTCCAAAGCATACTCAGAGAGGTATCGATCCCAAATTATTGTAAATATAAACATATCTTTTGTCTCCTCTGATTAATTAGATTCTCTCTTGTTCTGATAAATCAATCTTAAGGAGGAATCAGAAGGTGGGAAAGGGGAACAGGCAGGTCCTCGTTCAGGACCGGAAATGCCCAAAAGTTGCTTTAGAATAATCAAAATTCATAGCTGAGTACTAAAAGCAATCAAAATGACACATAAAGCAGTTGTCAGCTTTATCAGGTAGACCAGTCAGGAAACCCGACCAGATGAACTAATTCTACTTTATTGTATGGCTACATTAATAGAATCCTCCAATTCTAGAAGTATAATCCTCTCACCAGCTCCTTTACCACTGAGAAATTAGTGTGGATCTTTTCTGAGGCTTCTGCCCACCGATTATCCAGCTGCAGATTATGCTGTCTCTTATCTGACCATTCCCTAGGCAGCATCTCTGAGTCCAATCTCCCAAGATCTCTCCCACATACCACTACAGCATTTAGTTCCACAGAATATTTCCTCAAGTAAGATAGAAGAAAAAGCAAGCTTGGAAAACCAGCCACCCCAAATTCCTCCATCTTCTTTTAACCTTCCACACTTGTGCAGTAGAAAAAGAAAACTGGGAGCTGCAGAAATAGGGACACTGGAAGGAATACACCTTGTTGTGGTTATTCAGGCCCTTCATCTCTCTAAATGGAGACCAGGAGGCAGTACTGGTTCATGTTTGGATGACATATGGAGCCGCAGTCATGATAAGTGCCTATAGAAGAAGGCATCACATTATCTCAATCTTAAATTCATGCACAACATAGATTTGGACATCACACTAGACTCAATCACAGTAATCATGTTCACATGAACAAGACAGCTGAGTCCACTATATTATGAAGCTGAAAAAGTCCTGGGATGTCTGTCCTGTCACTTTAATTTTAAGCCTCTTAGAGACAATTCTCTACATCCTCTAGCACACTGTATGACTAGCATCTTCATGTTTCTGTAGCATCAATTCCCAGATTTCAGGCTTTGGAAGATATCTTCTGCCAGATATACATGTAGTTTAGCAGAGTTGCAGCTGCATGGATTTACAGTGAGAAGATTTAGAGGGTTTCATGCCGGGTATTCATTTAGTCAAAGGGTGCCAATTAATTTCAGGATCAAAATCATTTCATGAGAAATCCGCATGCTGTGAATAAACCGCCCATCCATTGCTCGGATTATGAGATGCAGAGTGTCATGAAACTGAAGTGCAGCCAAATGCTCCCTTGACTTTCAACATTCCTGGAAGTGAATCAGTTTTTCCCTGTTTTTATTGCCATGAGCTCCGGACATTTGTTCCTTCCTTTGTTTTGGGTGGAGGAAAAGACAAAGAGCAAGAAAGGCAATAGAACCTGTGGTTATAAATGGCTACTTTGGGACAGGGTGGAGATACAAAGGCGGGCCAAGGTGGGGGCAGGGGCAGGAGACACTACTGTTACAGGAAGGCAAGGGTGTTCCTAGAGCTTGGCAAAGTCTATGTGACTGAGTGGTTCTGAGATCCTCAGCTCCAAGCCAGGAACTGACAGCTCAGCTCCAGCCCTTCATCCCCTCTTTCCTCCTCTTGGGCAGTGTTCCTTCTCCCCAAATGCCTGCAGAGTGTAGGTCATTGGAAAGCCTCAGTGACTGCATGAATCAGACGCCTCCACATTTAGTCTTGGTGCTTCCAGAGGAAATTCCTGAATGTGAAGCACAGCAGGGAAGTTTGACTCATGCCTTCACTCGGAGCAGTTATCCCATGGAGCGGGATGCTTTGGATTCTGGGAAGGATTCCAGATGCACCTGCCTTGTTCTCAGTAAGTCTGAAATCTGGAGGGGCAAAAAAGGAAAGTTTGAAAGCCGCTTTTGTTTCCTTCGGCAAGGTACATGTCGTTCTTTTATCAAATGGTCCCACAAAGTTACCACACTCATTGTTTTCTCTCCAAAGATATGTGTCCCTTTGATTCAGTCTTGACTCTGGGCAATTGCCTGAAGTAAACTGCCTGCAATTTTCTTGGCAAGATTTCAGAAGCGGTTTGCCATTGCTTGCATCCTAGGGCTGAGAGAGAGAGGGGGACTGGCCCAAGGTCACCCCATTGGCTCTGTGTCCAGGGTGGAACTAGAACTCATGCCAAAATGGCTCCCCTCTCTAATGTACCCTTTCCTTTACCAGTGCTTGAGCTTGGGGCCCCAGGTGTATGATGGAGTTTGTTTCCAGATTGCATTGACTGTATTCTTTTACATTTTTTCTTGGCTGCTATACATTTTAGGAGATATTTTGTATTTGGGTTTGCTATTTGTAATACGGTTAGTCATTCAGAATTGTGTATTTTTATGAGTTTGTGATGGCTTTGTGTCTCCTTAGCTTCCCCCAAAATCTAAAATAATAGCCCTGAGATTTAGCCATCCTAGAAACAGACATGTGCATTCAACAGCATCTCTGATGAGAACAGACCCTCTTGTGTTCAGCACTCCTATCTTAAAATAGCCTCAGTTCTAAAGGTTCCAAAACTATAACCCAATAAACAGATTCCTCATCAGCCTTCGGCTATCAACAACTTCTGCTTTTGGTTTCGACATCCATCTAAATGAAGGACATGTAAGTATAATTTGGGAAGCACACTTTATTTTGGTTGCCATTGTTTGACCCCCAACATTTCAAGGTCAAATTTTATCCTCAACTTCAAACTTCAAAGATTTCAAAATGTTGCAGAGTTCATTTCAGCCTTAATTCAAGATGATGGGGGAAAATGTGGAGCAGCTGAAAGTCCACTGAGAACATCAGTGATCCATAAATTATGTTCAGGCATAGTAGCCAAAAAATGAGTTTGTAATAAATGTGCCTCTTAATATATGCAAATTGCTGTATTTATTTTCACACAGCTTGTACATCTCACAAAATTATGGAAAGGGGCTAGTAAGAGCATATATGAAATTATTCCCTATAAATTATATAGGGTCTCCTGCTTCAGCAGGGGGTTGGACTAGAAGACCTTCAAGGTCCCTTTCAGCTCCATTCTGATTGATAGATTGAAATATGATCTCACTGCAGGGAAAGATCATTCCCATTTCCCTGGAAAGTCCAAGCAAAGTAAGAAAAAAAGCCTCCTGTTTTAAAAACACAGTTAAAAGGAATAAGAAATATAGTCTTTCCCTCTTCAACAACTTACATTCCAGAATTGTCTTTATTCTATTTTGCGATCCTGTCTTTGGAAGAATCTCTGTATTTCTTATTTCAGTGTTTCTCAAACTTGGCAGCTTTCAGATGTGTGCACACCAACTCCCAAAATTCTCCAGTCATGCTGGGGAATTCTGGAAGTTGGAGTCCATATGTCTGAAAGCTGCTGAGAAACACTATCTTATCTTGAGCTGACACCAGAAAACAAAATAAAATGGTTTCCCAATTGAAAGGAGAAATTATAGCAGTAAGGAGAGCTGGTGAATAGAGAAGGGCTTTCAAAAACAGAGGCAAAAACTGAACAAGGGGTTCAAATGAGATGCTTTGGAAAGCGAAAAGCACTTCTCTTTGCTGTGTTAAAGCAGCCACATCCTTTGCAACTCTCACACAGCTGTTTTGACAGCTCTTTCGGATTGTCGGGATATTTGTGGAGAGTGTGTACTAAAAGGGATGTTCTTAAAGCAGTACTGTAAGCCTTGTAAAAGAAATGGTGGTTTTCACATTTCAGTATCAGGTGCTTTTTCTTCACTTAGACACTTTTTAAATTGTATTTAAAATTTAAAATGCTTTGCACAGTCCTATAGAAGACTATGGATGA